AATCATATACCTAATCGTATACCTCATAATCTAATCTAATAATACTAATCTAATCATATACCGTGAATATGTGTAAAAAAGAAAATAATTGGTTCTGCCTCCATCGATCCATTTGCATCGTAGAAAAGCTGGTGTCGTAAAGGACCTTAAAGATCACTTAGTGCAATCACCTCTGCCACAGGCAGGGCTGCCAGCACTGGATCAGGACGCCCAGGGCCCCATTTGACCCGGCCTCGACGGCCCTCAGAGGCGGAGCAGTCACAACCTTTTTAAGAACGCCGAGCCACTGCCTCAGGGCAGTGTTTAAACTGAGGGTTTAAAGCCATCCCGCCTCGTCCTATCACTGTCAGTTTGTAGCAGAAATGCCGAGTCACAGCCTGAAGCAGCGATTGAGCACCTGGTGAGAAGTCAGGGCCCACCCAGGCAAACTCAGGTGCATCCAATGTACCTGAGCTATTGCTAGGGGTGGAACCAGGATCCACCCCTTCCCAGACCTCATTTAAGGGCCGGCAGAGGAAGCAGGAGCCATTTGTCTGGTGAGTTTGTGGTCTTCTGAGGGTAAGCAGCTTTTTTTCCCCTTCATTTTTCAGCTGCTGCTTTTAGGCTCATTGTCATTTGCTGCAGCCGGAGGCTATGCTACTCTGCTGCTGCTGTTGTTGTTGTTGTGATCTCTATCACATTGTATTGTTACACAGATCATGTAAGAAGTTGATCCCCTTCTTGTTGTAAAGCTTCCTTCGAGTGCTAGGAAGGCCACGACGAGGCTTTTTCTTCTCCAAGTTAAACAAACCCAATTCCATGAACTTTTCTTCGTAGGAGACATGCTGCAGCCATTAGGTCACCCGTAGGGCTTTTTCTGCACCCACTCGCACAGCTCCCAGTATTTCTCACTTTGAGGGCACAGGACTCTAGACGGGGCCTTGTGCTGGCTGAGGGGCACCTTACTGCAAACCCATTTCATTCACTGCTGAGTCCTGACGATTAGGTACGGCGTCGCCTCCTCCCTTTGTGGAGACAGAGGCTTCCAACACGCTATGCGCTTTGTAGGGGTTCTGCGCGTACTTAGCGCCTCTTTAAGATCACAGAGACTCCAAAGCGTGGGAACTCCTCTCCCAAGGTGAAATGCTTTTGCCTCTTGGCTGAAATTTCTCAAAGTTACTAGCAAAGTGGACGAGGGATTTTTCTTGACAGGGAGTTTTTAGGTCTGACTGTCTTTAGCTCAAGGGAGAAAATAGCTAATATTAGCTAATAATAGCTAATACAGTAATTCAGTGTTTGGAAGCCCAAGTTCAAAGCACTCTCTTCTGTTTCCCCGTCTTTAGCAAAACTGTAAGGCTGACACAGAGAGGCGCTTCTGAGCCAGAGAACCGAGACTTGTTTCAGCGCCCCACTGAAACAGCTTTATTTCCATTTTTTCTTTAGAAAAGAACATTTAATTTTAATTTTGTTATCTGATTGTTAATTAATTAATTAAATTAGCTCCCAACTTCCCCTAATTGGCCGGTTACTCATTCATGAAGTTATCTGCGATCTGTCGAGAGGATGGTGTGAGCACGCTCAGAAATTCCGACCACGTAGGATATTCGTGTGGAATCACACTTCCAGCGGTCTGAAGAGGAAAATAAGAAGGCAATCTGAGGGCTGTTTTATACCACGTAGAGAACCTCAGCATTTCAGTATAGGGTTACTGAAGCTAAAAAACTAAAAGCTCAAATATTTGTCGGGAGTGACTGGGAGAAGGAGGAGCAGAAAGTTCTCCACGGTGGTTAATCCCTCAGCTGCCAGGTGCTGGATTTTCTTTTCGGTTACCTTTCGATTTTTCTTTTTCCATGCGATTATTCCTTTTCAAGTTCTTCTCATCATTCCACTTTTCTCTGGGAAGCAGTTCTGCCTGGCTTCTCCAAGGCTGCTGTGTGTAGGTAACTTAAATGGCTTATGCTATGAGCAATGAGATGTGTAAGACCACGTCTGTAGCTTTCCTCTTTCCTTATTTTTCCTGCTTCTACCACTGGTTTTTGGCGCGTCTGATACTTAGGAACCTACGAACCGTTAAATCAGGTAAAGAAGTTTAAAAGACCTACTATTGTTCTTGGATGGTTGGTTGGTTGGTCGTTGTTTTTTGTTTTTAAAAATGCCTGTAGTTTGAAATTCATTGTGTACATTTTTGGGGGGGAATTCATGTTCTTACTGGGTAACCCAATGCGATGCGTTAGTCAAATTACTGTGCACGTTATTATCACACGTGAGTATAGATACGGGAGAAAGTTAGAGCTTCCTCATGTCCTGCGCTATTAGGGACCGATGTTCAACACAAGCAAGGAAGGATCAAGGGTCAGATTTTGGAAACAGTCAAATGCTGTTCACGGTCGCAAAGCCCGCATGAGTTAAAGATTAGAGCTTTGATTTCTGTTTTACCATAACATTTAAGAAAAAAAAAAAAAGGAAAAGCAAATCATTTCTTTTATTCAGTGATGGAAGAATACATTTAGAGCCAGCCTGGGCCTCTGGATAAAGAGACACTAAAGAGGGTCTTCCATCTATAAGGAAAAATACATTATAAAGGCAGTTATTGCGGAAGCTCTTTTCAGAATGTGCGCGCCCAGGAAATACGGAAGGGGTTTTTTGGTGGTTTTAGGCCTTATACCTGCAAATTGTACTTGTCACTCAGTCATTCAGGGTATTAAGAGTGGAACGTGTAGTAATAGCATCACTATGCATAAAATTGGAATATTGAAATAACTTGGATCGTAGGGGTTACAAACAGCCAACGGTTAGCAGGAGGAGATCTTCAGTCATTAGCTGTTAATTTATTACCAATTAAGGCTTCTCGTGTTATGTTCCTATATTAGAGGGATGTGTCCATTAACTTCAGCTGTCTGTTGTGGTTATTACTTGCCATCTCCTTGTTTTTTAACTGTTTGTCCGAGCTAATCACTGCTCAGCAGTATTCAGCCGCTTAAGAGAATGCCCGGATTACAGAAATTTCTTCACATGTAGTTCAGTTCTAGGCGTGTATTACTTGTTTGAGTAAGTAAGGGAAATCCCTGTCAGGCAAGCATGTCCAAAAACTGAACTCTGCCTCAGAAAGCAGCATTTCCAATCACAATTGTTTAAACCAACAAAACAGTGACCTATTAATTGGCCCCATAAGAAGAGGCTCGCAGCGTTAAACAGGATGGCTAGAGCTTGGTGGACAGCGGCTAGACAAGGTGCACAGGGCTTGTTTTCGGAGCCAGCTTTCTTCTCAGTTTCAGGACAGGGGACTTGAGTGTGGATCAAGTAAGTTTGTGGACGACACTAAACGAGGAGGATCTTTTGAGCCCTTGTGGGTAAAAGGCTTTGGACAGAGATCTCAATGCAGCAGTATGCTGTACGGTCCCAGTAGCATCAAGTTTGATGAGTTTCTACACCAGGGATGGGTCCATGCTGGTTATATGTACAGACTAGAGGACGAGAGGCTGGCGAGCCACCCCCTGGGAAGGAACGAGAGCTGCATTCCAGGATCAGTTAAATGCAAGCCAGCGGGAGGCCCCAGCCGGCAAGAGGCCCAACCATACCTGCAGCACACGGGGCCTGGTCGTACCCCACCTGCTCTGCAGTGGCGCACCCTTAAGTTGAGTGCTGCCTGCAGTTATGACCACAGCTTAAAAAAAATTTATTTTATTAGAGTGTCCAGTGGAGGGCTAAAGCTCACTCTCCACAACTACAACAAAGAAGGCTGTAGCGAAGGAAAGATCCGCTTTTATTCCCACATAGCTTAGTGCTAGGGAACAGCCCTAAGTTACACTAGTGGAGGTTCCGGTTGAAAAGTAGAAGAAATTCTTTTCCACAAGAATACCTAAGGAGCAGGAGGAGTCTCTGTTTGTTGAGGTACTGAGGAAAGGGCTGCTGTTGCATTGAGTTTCACACGTTAAGCATGGGGCAGGGAGGAGTCGAGGGTTAGACTAGATGATCTTAGCAATCTTTTCCACCCACCTTTTTGCTTCTGTGATATAAGACAGAGAGAGCCAGGGGGTAAAGGTTTGTGACAAGCTGCCCCGCTCTTACACTTAGTTCAGCCCAGAGGAGGCCGAGGGGAGGTTTCACAGCAGGCTACAGCTCCTCACCCAGGAGGCAGCCGCCGAGCAGCGGCAGCAAGCAGCCCTGACGGGACAGCATAGAGCTGTGTCAGGTGACAGACAGGCGGGAGACGGAGCGCCCTCCCCCTAGGGATGCACACACCGTACCAGGCAGGGGTGGCAGCAGTCCCTTCCCCAGTTGTGAGTTCAGGTAGCATTTGGACAACACTCGTGGAGATGGAATTGGAGGCTGTCTTGGTCTCGCACAGGGCTAGGAGGGTAAGGTCTCTTCCAACCCCCCACTTTTTGATTCTGTGAACAAACACCACCTATACACACACTTCATTGCAATGTTAAGTTTATTGATTACTTTCCTCCCAAAACTCAGTAGTTCAAGTTCCTGCGGAGAGTTTTTCTATTTCGCGTTCTTCTTGTCCGCAGGAAATGACACGCTCACGGCCCGCAGCCATTTTCTCCTCATGAACAAAGTCACCTCGTCACTTAAACAGAGTTGCAATTACGTTAGGGCAGCATTACAGCTCAGTAAACTAGCTGCAGTTTCTATCCTGAATTTGTTAATATCTTACTCTGCAAAACAATTTACAGCAAAGCAAATGAATAATTGCCAACTCTTCTATTGAGACGCAACCCACTACACACAAAGATCTCACACAAAGGCAGAAACCAAACGCAGTTCACTTCATTTTACGGGCAAGGCAAACGCAAAGGAGGACAGCTTTGAGTCGTTGGCATTACAGCGGGGGGTGAAAGCGCAGGGAAACTAACTTCATAAAGGCTAAGGTAAAGGGTTTATTTGAGAAGCTCTAGTTTGCATTATCTAGCTAGAAAGCAGGGAATTATCAGTGTACTTTACTTAAAAAGATTAAGTTTTTTGAAAGAGTTGTCATCGCTCCGCTCTCCCAACAGGTCCGTCACCTTCAACTTCAGGAAGCTCTACCAAATTCAAGAAGGAACACGATTCTGAAATTCAACCGCAACGCGGCACACCCAGGAAGCACACCACACAATTCAGCTCAGTGAGTAATGCAAGTTTTATACATTATAGTTTTGAAGTAGATAACTTGTTAAAACGTTCAATACGGATTTATGTCTTCCTGGTTTTGTTAGTTCGGTGGGTTTTTTTTTTTAGAGAACATAGAAAGCTCATTTGATGATTGCAAGAGGAGGAGTTTTCGTCCCCTTTCTCGTCCCCTCAGATAACTAAGCTAGGCTCATAGCTAAGGAATGAGTCTTAAGTACACAAATAACCAGCACATCCTCTCTTTTTCCCCCGGATAAAGTCAGAAGTTTTAGTTTTGTTAAGTTGAAGTCAAATAGGCCTCCACAAAAACTTAAGGTAACCGCATTCAGCCATTCCATTGTAGTCCACGTTAGTAATGTAAATTCCTAACAGAGCATTCTTGCCTTCGGTAAAAGCAATGTTTCCAAAAACAATAATAACAACAATATTGAGAAATCTTCTAAGAAAACAGATGCATCATCACCTGCTTCCCAGCACTCGGAAGCAACCTCAGACGTTTCCAGTTTTTGGGGGAAGCACACGGAAATGGGAAGAACAGAGCCACGCATAGACGTTCTTCTTGATGCAAACCTGGAGAAGAACAGGTAAAAATATTTCTCTTAAAACAGAGGCCCAATTCTCCGCTACTTAAATAGACAGTCTTTTTTAAGCCTTTACATTACCTGCCCCCCGATACAACCGAGGACTTTTCACAAAAGGCATCATCTTAGATAAGGATTAAAACTTAACTACAAGAGACACACAAAGGCAAAAAACTCTCCAGAACCATAAAGTGATTTGGTCTCACAGACCTCTCACAAGGAAGCTTTAAGGGCACTTCCATTGTTTTATTTTTCCATTAGACTGACCTTTTCCACCAGCTACACTGGAAAAGAAGTTGTTGAGAGCAGAGCAGCAACTTTCCTTCTAGGTAAGCAAGGCTCCCCAGCACCCCCTCCCTCCCGGGCCCTCCAGGGGAGGGCCCCGGCGCCCCCCTGCCTCCAGGGGAGGGCCC